AGTTTTATAATTGAGACATATACATTACAGTTTCCTTTGAAAATATCATACATGTTAATAAATGTGTTTGAATTTCATAACAATGGTCTCCGACTGTACGAAGCGTGGCACAAATCACACCAAGTAATGAAGATTATATTAGCGCAATGAAAAATCACCGTTTAATTGTAAAGCTATCTTTTGTCTAATTTTCCTGACTAATTTGCATGAACTTTAAATTGATATACAGTGACCCTCCCGACAAGTAGTATCAGGTAGACGTTGGATCAATGACACGCTTCAGTGACATTGTTTGGCTAATTATTACACTGCCAGGCTTTTCTTGTGAGATATGACACAATCTTATCTGCTAGCCATACAACTTATACATCAAAGCTCCACACATTGTAGAGAAAAAAATAAAATGACAACTACATGAAATTATACTGTTCGAAAGTGGCCCAATCCATTATTCAGCCATAAATATAATCATTTTATAAACACATCAGACATTTTTATCACAAAATCACATCTATTTTTCTGGGAAAAAATTTGTAACATTGATCAGGTTTTCTTAAAGTGAAACGCATTGCCAGACTATAGGATTCAAACCGGAAACCCTCCAAACTATAGACGGATGCTCTAACCATTCGAGAGACTTATACCCAATCTCTAGCGATCCACTCCGCCCAGTTCCACTACATCCCTCCTTCCCATAACAAATATCTTCAACCATGAAGACACATGAGACACTGTACCAAATTCCATGAGCATATTTTGCTGGGCGCCAAATGTTACAGGAGAGGGAAAATGCACAACCAGATTGAGATTCAAACCCAAAACCCTCTAGATGGAAGCTGGTAGTACCTGCTTGTCGGCATATAACCAGTCTTGTTCTACTTATCAAAACAAAATTCCATTACAAAAATGTACCTTGCCATTAACTCATCACAGGTGATGGTGAAACAGTGAAAACCAGGGAACTAACGCTGCGGCCATACTATAATTCAATCCAAGGCTCTAAAACTCAATAACAAAATGCTCTACCTGCTGAGCTGTCTCTGGTCACTAATACTATAATAGTTGACTAAAGTATGATAAGATTACATTGGTGATAGGCATCTAAAATATAACAAACTTTGTCATGGTTTTTATCCAGCATAAAAATGACAAGACACCTTAGTGGTGTAATGTTCGGCAAGTGCCTATATACTTAAATGACAACCTGTGTCTGCTTAAAAGATTGTCCTCCCAAAATCTCTTTAAACATTAAAGAAAACCAACCATGGAGACATAACAATTTGTACCTATTTTCAGTTTGTTCTGTCACCAGTAAAGGAACCATGTGTAGTCACCATAAGTAGATCATGTACAAGATCACATCTAATCGAGTAAAAGCAATAACCTGAGAAATTCAAAAGTTCAAAGATTTCATGATTTGTTCTCAATTTATTTTACAGAATCTTGACAGAAGGTTTACATCCTTTATAGCTTAGTCTACATGAGTGTGTATATTATATACAGGTATAACGAAAGGTCAAAAGGTCACATGGTAATACTTGTCCTTTTTTTCCGGAAGATTTCATGATTCTACTTGAAATCCCATAAAATGATGTGATTTACATTTCAAAGTGCCCCAGCTCCTTAACTATGTATCTGGTATAGTTAGCTCCTTCTGTGTATCTAGTATAAAATTATTGTTGTTGTCGGATACAGACTCATAAATAATAAAATATCAAAACAGGTCTGCCTTTGATCTTAATAGGGCTTTTAACTAATCTCGAAATGTTCAACCTATGGTATAATAATGGTGCAACTGTATAACAATAAAAAAAAAAAAAAATAGAAAATGTATGTAAGACATGAATGCTCCTGTCACCATGTGAAATTAGTTTCAGTGTTTGATGTTTGACTGTACGGGACGGGACAGGATCGACTGACATGGGCAACACTATGCCTGCCCCCCCCCCATTTTATGGCAGGGGTATAATGAATCAATTAAGAAATTAAAAAAAAATTAGTGTTTGTCAGTAGATACAGAAACAACATGGTGAGTTGAAAAGCAACTCAATACCATATTGATTGGACTTTGGAGGAAGGTTTCAGTGATGTAAAAGATGGGTGGTTGCATGGTGACACGGAGGTGTTTCATTCCCTGATGGGATACATGTATGTAAAGCCTTGGGATCACCTGTCCAAACGTGGGTTTTCTCCAAGTACTCTGCTTTACTACCTAACTAAGGCTGCCTAAACACTACTATCTAGGCAAACCAAACAGTGATTAACATATTATTTCACAATTGTTATAAAATTAGGAAGGTTTAGTTTATTTATAGTATAAATCAGCCTTAAACTATACTATGATTCTAAAATTCATGCTTAGGGGCAAAAATAAAAATAAAATTCTTCCGTACACAAGTCCTGGTTCCTCCAGCGAGTTGTAGAGTGTTGTAAAATATGTCATATGTCATACCTCCTACAGTTTCAGGCTGTCATGCATTAATTTGCTTCATAGTCGGCATACCCAACACATGACTGGGTGACGTCTGTTTTTTGGTCATATTCTTCAATGTTATTAACTCCTCTAACCACAATTTTAGGTACTTGTGTTAATCTGTATTTTCTATGATTTGTTCATCACAGTAGAATAATACTTCCGTATTCTTTAGAGAGGGGTATAAACTTCTGTTTTTGTAAGATTCACATGTAACCTCCAATTATGGTACCAATTTGAAATAAAATTATGTAAAGACCAAGCTCGGATTTGATTTGCACAATAAAGGTGATATCATCCATGTACAGTAATGTTTTATGTCATTAAGTACTTTTCTATTTGGTTTAGGTTAAGAATTCCAAATTTTTGCAAAATTCTGCTTTAAATGTGCAGCAAATTATCTGCATGTACTATGTTTGGTTAACAAAAACTAATTAAAGAAGTGAAAGGTTGAAATGTGTATATCTAATTCTTTACGAGATGAAAGCACTAAAGTCTCGTTGTTGAGAATTTTTCTTTTTTTATTATTTCTTCGTCTATAAAGATAATTTTTCTGCTTTTATAAGTTTCAGACTTACAAGTGTACATCAACAGCAGCATCATGTAGGGGGGAAACAATGTTTGAACAATGTTTTTTCTGTAGTTGAAAATGTAGGAATACAAAATTAATTTCGAAAATTTAGTTTTTAGATTTTCTGGAGTTTTTCTGAAACAAGTCATCAAGTTGTATAATTTGAAATAAGAAATTTGACAGTCAGTGTGATATTTTACAAACAATCACAGAATCTACAAAGCAACCAATTTCGATGGAATAGATGGATTACAAGTGGCAGGTTAATATTGTACAGAACCAGATTGAGAGATTTACAACAAATGCTCTTACAAAATTGTTCTGATTTTTTTTGATTTTTTTTTGCATCAATTGTTTTAAATCATATTACTTGGATTCATGCTTTTTAGAATTCCTGGAGCTTGTAATGAATATCAGTTTGCAATTTGTGTGATATCAGTTGTCATGATCGAGGATTCTGAGTTACTACTATGAGTAAAGAATACGCTGGTACAGGTCCCTACCCCTCCCCTGTTTAAGTTATAATGTAGTCAGTGGGATACCTGCATATATCTCAATCACTGTATCTAAATTTATCAACCTTTCTGCAGAGCCAAGCCCATGTTGCTTAAAAGCAAATCAGACTTTGCAGGTTATAAAAGTTTATAATTAGCCTTGTGCAATAAATTCATTGGCCTAAAATTTAGACATGAAATGTTAAAAGTTAATAACAAAAAGTTGGTATTTGTACAAGATAATATGGCATGAAGAGATCCATTCCTTATTGTAGACTGGTTGTTAACACTATCTGTTCTAACAGTGAAACTAGACTTTCCACTTTAAGAGGCCACTTGCATTAATATTCATTATTTACTCATCTACCAACACAAAATGAATAAGGAAAAGGAGTGCTTTTGTGTCTGGGTTTTCTAAGGTGTTGAGTGTAAACTTTGCCAGGTCATGTAAACACACCTAATGTATTGGGTAGACAACAAACAGATATTGTGGGGACTCAAGTCCTAGCTGAAAGTGTGAGTGACAGCCTGATCGACTGACCCGGCCGATAAAGATTGTTCTACCATCCTGTAGTACCCAATCCAAGTTGTCACTCCAGAGTCTGTGTATAGAGAGCCTCATATGGAAACATGTTCCATATATATACAGCAGCAGACCTTTGTAGCGTTCTATACTGGGAATCGAGTGCTCAGATCTTTCTGTTAAAAGCCAAGTCGACTTGATAGCTGTAGTTGTAACTTGTTACTTAAAGTTATTCAGGCCTATACTGTCAGTGTACCTGTAACAGCACACTATGCAGATTTCACGCTATGATACTTTTATGTCAATTAATCTGTGCTTTATTGGCTGCTGTTTATGGTCACAGGGACAGTTTAAGGTTAGAAATAATTATGAAATCAAAACATTCTAAATTTATATTCCATGCTACGCTATGTATTTTGATATCAATTTCAAACCCCTCTTTCTTTTTTAAAACAAATGCTTGTTTGGAAAAGAAATTTAATCAAAACTTCCTAAATAAAATCGTCAATATTTCACGAAAAAATGTCGTTTTGGGTACAGTGACAGTAGCTTTGAAATAATTCCCTATCAGAATTTCTTCTAAAAATATTTACAACAGAAATGAAAATCTATAAATACCTGTGATTCATTGTTGTTTTATGATGACATTGGAATTGAGGCAATACTTATCAGATGCTCATTCTTATATATAAATGCTTTCCAAATCATTTCACACCTTTAAAATAGCAATATATTTGTGTTTTATTGGGAGCTTGATGATCAAATTATTTGTGTTTTATTGAGAGCTTGATGATCTAATATCTGCGGGATTGCATTTGATGACATTTTTGTCACATAATGAAAGGTATTCCGAGGTAGAAAGTATCTTACAAATCACATCAACAACATTTGTCTATGGATACGAGTCTGGAAAATTAATTATTGTTTCTTTTTTTACAGCTACCAAATGGATGGGTTTGATCTATTGGTTACCTGTAGAAGGAGGACACCTTGAGTCTACTATATACCTGGACAGTTACAGACATGTGTGCCTTGACTAAACTGAAATCACGTACAAGACCAGAACCAAGCCTATGATCAGTATTACCATATCATGCCAAAGTATGGATACGTGCCCTGAACAACCAGGACAGTAAATTGAATTTCCTATGCAATATTTTCGTTTTCTGTATTGTTTGTTATTGAGTGTATATTGGTTCGAGTAATACAATCCGATGAAGCGACCGTCTGTAATCTTGTGACACTGTGACCTCGCATGTACTAGGAATGATTGACAAATTATACGCAGTTGTGGTAAAGATCTATTGTTTTTGATGGCTTTTTGGTTTAGAAAGTTTGAGAAAATGAATGAAATATAAAGGAATGTACATGTATATGTTTACAATTCATTAAAGCTAGTCTTTAAGTTTTTAAGATACGTTGGCTTTAAAGTCACTACCTAGTAAATTTTTAAAAACAAAGGTTAAAGGTTTATTTCTCAAATTCACACAAACATATGGAATATAACTCTGACCATCTATAAAGTTGGACCACATTTAAAACATCGTTTGGTTGAACTCTAAAATTAATTGTGACCGTGCATGAAAACAACAATACAGTTCTATGTGATACAACAACATTTTTGACATCAAAAGTTGAGAATATTTCTACATATTTCAAAATACAAATGTAATTATATGATTGCTGAGCTATGTCGGAACAATCCAGGTGATAAAAGTGTTAAATAGATCTTATAAATAATGCAGTAACCCGTACTTGATGTGAATGTATGTATATACACAAGATCAATGTTAGTACACGATCGTAGAATAAATAGATTATTTTAAGTAAGGTTTCAGTTTTTGTTATACAATTGTATTCACCATAAACTAGAATGAGTGTAGAAGTACAGCACTGTGAGATCTCAAGTGTATACCTCAGTATATTACATGAAATATGGAGTTGGATTAGTTTTTTCAAAGTGTGCTATAGAATTATTTATTTTTAAATATATTGATGTACCAGGTAGACATAATCAGTTTAAAAGACACAAATCAACATAAGGTATTTTTAAAAATCAATAATGTTATGTGAATTAAACATAATATTGCTGCTTTAATAGTGGTATTAAAGAAACAACTACCCTAAAAACATAAAGTGTGGACCATTCTAACAGGTCGGTGCAGACTGTATACCGCCTCTGTACAGTAGTCAGGGAGGAGTGTAGAAAGGTCAATGTAATATATGTACCGTCTCATGCCCAGTCTTTTAAAGTTAACAAACTTAAGTCCTACAAATTAATTGTTATTCTACTGTATAAGGTAGGGCCAGACAGAATGTCTCAATTAAAATGTGTCTGTGAATATACATTTTCCTTAGACATTCTCTTCAAAGGCCCTTTTGTGATAGTAATTCTACAATTAGTTCAATATTTAATTTGTATTTAGACAGTTTTATGAAAAGAGACATGCAAATTTGATTGAGTACCTACCTGAGTTACGTAAGCATTACAGGCGTGTGTCATGAGTTAAAGGGAGTTTATTTACAAACCCTGTGTAACCATTAAATCTGTGTGGTCCTATTTACTGTCCATGTATCCATGTTTAAAACTAGCTTGTTTAAAAATGGAAATCTACATGATACTCCCGCTGTGATGTGCATGGAAACAGGGCATAGTCCCACATTTTCTAAATCTAAAAAAAGATTATTAGTGTTATTCTTAAAAGATTTTTCATGTGAAAATACTGAAAGCTTGTTTGTTTTCATAAAGTTAGCTAGTTTATAACAACTAGCTTGTTTAGATATTGAAATCTGCATGATACTACCCCTGTGATGTGCATGGAAACAGGGCACAGTCCCACATACACATGTTTTTCAGATATATTTTTTCTACAGGTAAATCAAAAATAAGATTATTTGTGTTATTCTTAAAAAGATTTTTCACATGAAAATACTGAAAGCTTGTTTGTTTTCATAAAGTCTGATGTTTCCATTTACTTTTTTCAAGAATAAACAAATTCCTATTCTAGTTTAGGAGCTGTAAAGACAGCACAAAAGCTTTACAAATATATATCTCTTGTGATTTCGACTTTTGATAAGGCTGTGTGCACATTGTACTTGTTTGTAGGTCATAGATGCTATTAATTTAACTTTCTTTTTCAGCTGTAAAGTGTAATCCAGGTGTATTGGACAACACTGCCATTATGATGAAATGGGTTGTAAAAATGAGTCATACTGTTAGATATATGTACAGTGAAATAGCCATTGTATACCTCTATAGCATGGGAATGTGGATTCCTATTTCAATTTTGTTTCTTGATAACAACTTTTGATGCAATGTACCTGAATGTTTGTTATTGCATATTTTGCAGTTGAGTCTTAATGAATGGCAAAATTCAGCCTTTTTTTGTTCTATTTATTTATTTATCAATGTATATTTGATTCCTGCTCAAAGTATTGTTATGTAAAGGAATAATGTTGATGTACACTTCAAATTAAGTAGTTTTACCCGTTACCTCTTGTGGTACAAACGATCCACTAAGACTTGATGAATTGTGGTATAGTCAGTTTGAATCTTGTTACACTTTTAACGTAGTTATTTAATTAGTGAATATCCAAAATATTTTTCTGACTTCTTAGCTATTCTATTGTGCATGTCCAAGGGTTAGACCCCCTTTACTGGTAAAACTAGTTCACCATTAACGCCGTATTTATGCACATGTTGAATGAATGAAGTCTAGTCTAAAATGGTATGCTGACTGTGATAACATATTATGGTATATCTCCTTAGTCCAGAATTTCAGCCTCCAACAGTGAGTTTCCCAATCCGTTACAAACTGGACTAATGAGGTTACACCATGTGAGATTTCTGTTCTAGTAAACTGATTTGTTTTAAACATCAATGCTATTTTCAAGAAGTAGTGTATTTGTTATTAAAGTTAGAAAACATTGTGATATTGTGTTTATGTTACTAAATACTGCATATCAGCTCTGAATAATATCACGGACACAAGTAGCAAAACATTGGAGAAAAACCTTCATAAAATTTATAATGTTCGTGATAGTTTTGGCCTGTGAGTTTTGCCAATTTGCATTAGCTATCACACACCAAGGCGTCTTAATGTTTGAATTCTTTGAACTGAGCCAAAATGCCCACCTCTTGCATGTCTGTCGACCCCCAATGTGAGATAAACTATATCTCTGTATAAAAGTATTTTATTTAGGGTTGAATACATTTTACATGATACTGAATGTAAATTTGAAACCTCTACTTCACCATTAGATAATGTTTGTATTTTAAATTTGTTGCTGTTTTATTTTTGCTGATTCATGATTACATTATAAATTTGGGAGAACAGGATCGTATTTCCTATGTTTACTATATTTCAATTAGGCGACAAATTTCATTCGAAAAGCTTTTAGAAATATCTGTCAAAGAATTTGACATCACAGCATGATTATTAACAGATTACTCTACCAGTTTGGTAGAAAGGCCGGAGTTATTTCTGATCAAAACCATTCACAGTAAAACGTTGTCTGTGTTATGGTTTCTTAAAAACATTTTGAGTTTGTATTTTTGTTTAGTGGCTGTACAACGCAAATGCCAAACAATCCTGATGAATAATAATGCTATAAGCATACTTCCAAGTTACGTAACCCACAGTTACTATCCTCGTCTGTCAATACACCTATAATATAATTATAACATTATAGATGTATTGACAGACGAGGCTAGTACCTGTGCGTCACCAAAGGCATCCTCCAGCGTGTTTCAAGACGGTCAATGAAGTTACTTCAAGTTTTTGAAGCAGTTTTTTTTTTTTTTTGATAAACAAACTTTGATCTATGATAAACAAATTATATGGTTAAATACATAATAGATGTATTTGGATGATTTGGGCAATCATACGGGGCACCAAGGCTTACAGAAAGTCAATTTCTGGCAGTGTTGTGGAGAGATGGTAGGCTTCAGATGGGGTTCGGGTTTCAGCTTCCTTTGTTACGCCTTGTTTGATGCAAAATTGTATCTCCTAGTAATGTGAATCCATATTCTGTTAACACGGCTACCACCCAAGGAACCTACAACTCTTTTGTTGCTGTTGTTGTCAGTTGAAGGTTTCCGACAGGTGAGGGTGTTACATAATGTTGTAATTTTCAATCCACGGATTGGTCTTTTTCTTGTTGAAATTACATTATTTACTTGTGCTATAGATATGTCCCCAGTGTTGATTTATATTTTCTGTTTTCCATGAGTATGTTCTGTTGATTTTAAATTTATCAACTATATATTTTTTTTATTTTTTTTTTGCATTGTGTTGAATCCTGATCTTTTACCATTGACCTCATTTAGTTTTCCTTTATTGGTTCTCTCTAAAACATAAAACTGAGAGTTTGAGATTTTAAGATATTTGTTTTTGACAGGAGGTGAACAAACTGTGGTGTTATTTTTCTTGTTTACCTATGTTTTATGACGTTATGTTGTGAAATGGAGTGTGAAGGTATGCATACTAATTTATTCCTATTCAATTTAGTTTAAACAGTTGTTCCATTATTTTTAGCGTTATCTTTCGTTATAGTTAATTTATTTTCCTCTTTGTTCTTTGTTTTAAATTATTCTAAAGTTCTTTCAATCATCAATGGTGCTTTGGTGCTTAGATTCATTGTTTACTATTATGATGTGTTTCAATTATCATTTATGTAGTCATTTTTTACTTTCCCGAGATTTATGGAAAATGTATTCCGAAACATCTCACTGTATTCACCATGTCTTTTTAGTTTTGAAATATATCTATCTATACAGTTTGTAAAAAGTTCCACATTATTTGTATTGGTTTTTGTTCAAATTCAAAACTATCACTCGAAATATTGCGTTTTGATCATCAAATGCACAAAATTGACATTAATGGTAAGCATATACATTTATTGTTCAGTTTGAAATTCTACCTAAACATTTCAGAAAGATGAAGTGTTCCAGATTACAGTAACATGAAAATTACCCGAGCAAGGGAGTGTACCCGTTATTAATGTTTTATTTGATGATGGTTGATGACAAAACAACTCACATATTTCGTGTATTATTATTTCAACACTGGAACATTTTTTTATTTTGAATCATAAAATAACATTCATGATCTAAAATGGTCATTTATAAACGTAAAGGATTTATTTATTTTTAAAACAGTTCATAGTAGGGCAAATGATCGCAAGCTTTTACCATATAAAGGGAGATAATACGAAGCGAAGCACATTCCCTTTGTTGGCTTTGATTTAAACTTTTGAAAGACAGGGTGATTGAGTGCTTATGTTTAATACATACTCGAATAAAACGAAAATTTTATCTTTCAAAATGCACACATACAATTAGGTTGCATAAGAGAAAAAGGCTTCCTGGTAATGCATACTTTTTTAAAATAAAAACAAGCAAAATGCGTCTTTTAAAGTAAAATGTGTTATGTTTTCATTGTTATACTTTTTTTTTTATTTAATCACTATTAATCGATGTCATATTCGAATTCTGCCTCTCGTGTTTTACCGCATAGTTTAGTAAGGACCTGTCCTTCCTGGCGAATCCATTTGTTTGCCACTGAAAGGGAATTCGAAATGAGTATCTTCGAAAAAGACTATAACGTAATGATTAATACAGCAGAAACGGAAATCAGTGGCTATTTGTGGAGTATCCCAAGACGACTGTTGACTTACATGTGATAAACTAACCTAAACTAGTAATTCGTGATTAAGAATAAGGATAGACTGTAGCATACTTAATCACTTAAACATAATGGGATACTCCAGGGGTTACGCTCACTTTCGCTCTCTGCACCCCTGGAATATGTCGTAGCAAAATCGAAGGCACGAAGATAACTGTTTGATTGGTCTCCGGTAAAAAAAACACCTGACCAATCGCTAGCCTGACACCAGTCCTTAGAAGATTACAAAGGAGCGACACCCGACTTCAAAGCCTGTCAATTTTTACCGTTACGTGACCGCGAGATTCTTTTGATGTACATCAAAGGATTGAACTATTCTTGTCTCATTAACAAGATGGCGCACACTGGGCCTTCAATTTCACTATGACATATTCCAGGGGTGCAGAGAGCGTAAGTGAGCGTAACCCCTGGAGTGTCGAGGATGCCTATGGTTACAAAATTGCTTTTACATCGCGCAATATGTCAGTTGCAACTTTAGCTATACTATTTGACGCTAATATTTTCATACGTTGTGACAATAAAAAAACCCGTCTAATTCTTAAATTCCTTTCCCGTCCATTTTAAAGTTAATTAAAGATTAAAAATCATATGAAATTAAAATTCAAGTAATATTTTATATGTTTGGGTCGACTTCGTTTCCTTATAGCTATGGCAATTACAATTTGAAAAATAACTTGGGGGAAAAAATGTTGAAAGCTCATTTCTGCCTGCGTTTGACTTGACTCGTGGATTTAAGGGGAATATTTTACTAAAACACATAATCTACCTTATGTTCTGTCCCAAAAAACATGTAGATATGGGTCTCAGTATTTAATAAATCATTCATTAATTCATTCATTTATGCTATTAACAAATTCAAGTCTCGTTATTCAATTTTAGCCTACGACTAAATCAGTGTTGAAAATATCAAAACAACGTATGATCAAGCCTTTGGTTACCCCATCTCCATCCCCCACCTCCGACACGGGTCGGAGTCGGACTGGGTAGGGAACTTACCCCATTTAGATCCTAGTAAGACTGGACAGCCAGCATGTAGCATTCTTTCATCCTTATCACCATTAGGAAGAACGTTGTACCAAAATGCAGCGCTACCCTTCAAGCAAATGTTATACCAATCAGTTGTAAGGCAAGATATGATTCTTCCGACAGAATGAGACAATGTTGCAACAATCAATAGTTTTTTCCGAAATACGGCAATTTTTTTTTTTAACACAATAGTTTTCTGTTGTTTTACATCAATTTTAAAATCAAAATACTTGATGTATAACTTCTTCCACAGCAAGTTGTAAGTTTATGCGCATATATATGTAGACTTGATTTACATATTTATGAGACTATTGGTGATGGTTGATCGTTAAAAAAATGAGTTTATGGAAGCCCCTTTAGGCCCCTTGTATATGAATAATGGCTCAAAAACCCCAACCAAGTGCAATTTAGCTGTTTTTGACCTCTGAAATATGAAAATATGGTTAAGCACATTGCTTACACTCGCAATAAATGTCTCAACCTTGTAACAGTCAACAGACTATTGAGTGTGGTGATCCGTGTTGGACGGGAGAGAAAAAACACAAATGTTTAAACGAATTAAGTGCCCAATGCTTTTTGATAGTATAGGTGTTATATTTTTCATTTAGACTATCATATTATTCTGATATAAAGTCAAACACCTGTGCTACAGTTAAGTTGTCTATCTCTCCTTACTGAAAGGTTTACTTGTAAGAAAACGAGATGATGATTCCATTAATATTTATAGTAAGGTAGCATTTGTCAGTTGAATTAATTTAAGATATTTTTGAGTTCAGTAATCTTTGTCTGCTATGTCATGCTGGGTTACTATTAGTTAAGTAGCACACGTCAGATAAATCCTGATGTATTGAAAAAAAAATTAAAAAAATGATAAGCGAAATAAACTTTTCACAAATACTGTATATAAGTGAGAAATTTACATTTCGAAATGTTTGGCAGACAAACCATCCTCGATACTCCAGAGGTTACGCTCACTTTCCCTCTCTACACGGTGTAGAGAGCGAAAGTGAGCGTAACCACTGGATATCGAGGATGCAGACAAACTTACCTTCACAACTGGTACCCTGGCTCTCAGTTTCGGGAAAACCGTTGCTCCGCCAGCCTTCACAGAACTTATCTACCAAATCAACATATATAAAGACACAATATGCACATTCACTGGCAATTATTGAATCCCTTTGTTTAGCTTACTTGGTAGGACCAAGATGAGCTTATGCCATACCGTGGTGTCCGACGTCCGTCCGTTCATCAACAATTTCTTCAAACGACTTCTTCAGAACGACTGATTGGAACTTAAGTTGACTGCAAGCAACTATAGGGGGTTGAGGGGTGGGGCTATCAGGATTGGCCTTAGGAACTTACCCTATCCCTGGAATCTGTTTTGCAATTCTGCTTTCGATGACAATATTTTGCCATGATTGCCTAAATATTCAGGTGAGCAATACAGGTTCAGAGAGGGCCTGTTGTTGTAACTCGAAATCAAACTCTCCCTTGTTATCTACGTTAAAGGCTATTTTACCTTATCCTAGGTTCAGGGTAAATGACTCCACAAAGTTAAGACTTGGTGTGTGAGTTGCCCTGTTGAGGAATCCTATTGCATTGTCTGTCAAAGGTCAATGTCACCGTTACTAAACAATAATATTCCACATAAAACAAATCCAATCTGGATGCTCACTTAAGAACAAATGAAAGCACATGGTCGAAACTTAGTATGTCGGTTGTCCGAGGTCACGGGAAGAACCTTATTGCTTTCTGGGATCCTTCGTCAAAGGTTTCTAATTGCAGACTGTTCTTGATCTAAACAAAATCAGACTTTTTATGTGGGTTGACTTGACGTCTTTTTTTTTGCAAAATGTTTCTTAAATGTAATAATTAAATATTTCAGATAGACTTGTTTCAAGTAAAACATTTATCCAAAGGTGAAATTAATTTAATCTTCATATATATGATTTAAAAATTATCATTGCTACCAATAAGAAAAAAAGACGTAGCGAACAATCATGTGCGAGGTTCATGTGCTGAAATGATCTTACGTAAAACATCCATGTAGCTATTCTCTCCCCACTGTATCTGCAATCATCCGAGGATATTACCGTCGAAGGCTTCCAAATAGGAATATTCTGAAACAAAACATCAACGAAAAATATTAAAATATTTTTACGTTGATACAAAATACATTTGCATATAAAATTACTCAAATAATAAATTAAAAGTTAAACGCCACAGCAACAGCAAACGTAGGTTTGTTGTCAGATAACGTTAGATTTTGATGAGCGTTGACAAAAAGTACGAGGAAATATTAAATTTCACGAACAAATATTCACTTTTTAATGTTTCTATAATATAATAGTGGTAACTGTTGAGAATTATCTTAGTTATTTCAATAACTGGTCCTTTATTAATATTGTTAAACTCATATGCTCCCATGGTTTTAGGAGGAGTCAAGTTTTTTGTGATAAATCTGAAATGAATCTATTTTCGACTCGTCAACAACACGTATGTAAAATTGAAACACAATCGTTAACAAAATCGAATTATTTGACAGCACTCTTTTCTTTGCATTGAGGGTGATATATCGAATAACATATATCGGGAACTTATAAGAAGTGTGGTCAGTACAGTTAACACACTAGGCTGTCCAGTTCGTTACATTGCAGTAAACACACAAGATTTTCATTCGTGTGATTTGTGGAGCTAAAACCCCAGAATGGCATTGGTGTGCTGGTTGTGTACTACACTTCATAGTAAAACCCAGATTAATGTGAACTACCACGAAGGTAATTAAAAGTTAATTTAACTAATTTAATTAAATTACTAGGCTACCATTGGTGTCGGTTGTTCAGTAAATCAAACCTACCAGATTGTCATAGTGAGGCGCGTACATTCCTCCTATTCCATAGTTCGCTATCTGAAATAATTATTTTTGTTTGTTTTATACAGTTTTGAAACAGAACAAAAAACAGAGGTTTAAACATACGTGGTTTTTAATTAATTGGTACTGTGTTTCTCCGGCTAACTAAATTTATATTTTACTACATGTCAAATTTATTTATCTGCTACTGGTCCACCAAAAAATACTGACTGAGAATCAATTTCTTAACAATATTAACGCTACATTGTGCACCACCATACCTGGTATTGTTCAATGCTGGTATTTTGTAGTCTGAACGTGGTATCGAGTCCCGTGACAAGACCTATTCGCCTGTTTAATTTCAATAAACGCTCGTTTCCTTTCGCAGCATCAAACAACCAGCCACTATAATTCATAAGTAGAAATAAGACCAACTTAATTTTAACATGCGTTGACACGAAGAGATGAACCGCTAAGTTGATCACATAATGATATGCACGCAAAGATTTGCATGTTATGATGTATACAGAATGATGTACACGTAATGATTGTGACAATGGACTCATGTGTTTTCCCTTATCCTTTTCTCTTGGTCGTTAAGGCATTGAGGATTGGAGAGAGCACGGATTAGTAAAAAACTGACGTTAACATGTTTGTAAAGGTTATTATAATCATATATAAATATGATGTAAGGGATACGATGTACAAAGCTCTATTATTTAGTCCTTTTTTCATATGAACGTAGTTTTGTTAGCTCACTAGGCACGAATTCTTACTGAGTTAATGCCGTGGTACGGCGTATGTCTGACGTCAATCTGTTAACTTTACATTTGGAAAGTAACTTATCCAGAATGTCTTAGATATTTTGACTAAATTCGCTCTATACAATTGTCGGATAAAAAAGGTGCTTACCACTTTGTAAACAGAGTTTGTGGACTACCTGTAGGTAGAATACAATGTAGGTCTAAATCTTTGGAATTCTACCTCTTGAGTACAAGTAAGATTTGAGCCTGGTTTTGTTAAGAGCATCCTCCACCCAGGGGACTAAATGGTATATAAATAGAGGATGAAACCCTTCTTGGGGCAAAGGAGTGGACCTTAATAGGTGAAATATAGATAAAGAAATAAGATTTGGTGTAAGTCGTCCTTAAGTTAAGGGGATTACACATTGTGTAGAGGGGCTGGGCCCAATATTGGCCCAACAGAGACATATCTTGAAAAGTCTTCTCCTTGAGAATAAAGTAGAGATAAACTTGGTATTGTCTAGAACATCCTTAACCGAAGGGGACACTATGTGGTAAAACGGAGAGTGTGATCTTTATTGGGTGAGAGGGATGGAGAATAACTTTATTATGAATATTCTAATTCTTAAGTGCATATTGAAAGATTTAACCTTATTTGGTCTGAAGCATCCTTTGGTCAGGGTGATGATTAAGGTACTACTCACTGAGCTATTGATGAGCTTGGCCTCTTGACTGAGCTATTGAGGGCATTGGCATCTTTACTGAGCTATTGAGGACCTTGGTCTCTTTACTGAGCTCTTCAAGACCTTTGCCTCTATGCTGAGCTATTCAGGACCTTGGCCTCTTTTAAAATTTATTGATGATTTTGTTCGTATTTTGAGTCTGACTGATCATTTTGAATCTACCGTCCTGTCCTCAGTTTTTATAATTAAATAGCTCACAGATGTAGTTATTATAACAATAATACCATTAAACAAATGCTTTTGATAGATTATATGGTCAGTCTACTTTTAGTATGAGAGGGTAATATAAATAAAAGCTGATGTCAAGGTTCATCTACCGTGTCTGAGATTGAGAGGACAAGATTTGCTCGGCAAGATCATAGATGGCAAGATAGGTAAAGTGAAAGACCAAAGAAGCAGTTAAAAACCATATCGTTTGTTTGTTTGTTTATATATATTACATTAGCTTCGTGAACTATGCTTAACATTTTCGGTAGGTTTGATTCTGGAGCGAAAATGAAACAAGTCTCGCAAGCTCTATAGGCAGTGGGGGCATGCATGATATTTCTAACTGCTGAGGAAAGGAAAGTGAAAGATCTGCTAAAGTCGTCTAAGAGTTTAAAAGTGAAGTGACCACTATTGTCGTATTGTAGATTAATGCAAAAATATTTAGAAACATGTGTTATTAGATGCACAATAGCATATGATGTTAAATAAGTCGGACCCCAGACTTTACATGACTGTTGGTCTACTTACGTGAAGCTCACGCGATTTTCGCTTACAGCGCTTTCATTTTTAGTCAAAACCGTCGACCTCTCCATCTACGAAAAGATATGAATTTTGTAGTTAATCTAAAGACGAATAATTGTGAACCGACAAATTCTATTCTCTTTTTTATTCACAATTTGATCCAATTCATTCACAGTAACATATTGATGTGGATGGTCAAAACAACTTCTTTTCTTTCAACATTGTCTGATAACTGTAGCTAACCAAGGAACGTTCACATACAAGTGATGTGCTACCAGAACTCATCAAGAGACATATTTTAAGTTGCATCTTTCAACAATATTGAATTGATTTCGTATTTGTTGTTAGATACATTGTAAATGACACATATCAACCTGAATTCTGTAGAAAATACTAGTATATGGTAACAATCTCTCCCTCATCCCCCACGCGATAAACTTCAAATCCTGATTTTTACAAGTTCCTTATAAACAAATTTAGGAAACTCCTTACATTTTCGTCCTCAAAATCGTGTTTTAAGGAAATTTAACCTAATTTTTAATTCAAAAACTTATTTCCTCAAGTTAAGGAATACCCTTGAAGCTGGTCCCATTTACCATAAAGAATATATAATATACCAAGTTTATACTAACCACAGATCAGCTTCTCTTGCCAATTGCTTCATTTGACCTCAAATGAAGTAATCTAAATTTAAATTAATCCTTATAATATCATATCATTGAGCTCATATTATTGAGCTTGTCGGTAAGGCGTCAAAATCACTGTTGTATAACGAAAAGGACGAGTAATCAGTATCTTAGGTGGGAAAATATGCTCTTATACACATAGTTTCATACATGACAGACGCTCCAAGTCGGCATGTCAATACAATATGTAAGATCTTACTTATTGTTCACATATGGGTTTCAGAACAGTTTGGGAAATTGATGAAATGGTGATTTGCATTGAGTATGAGAAATACAAAAAAAAATACAAAAAAAAAGTCAACTTCTGATGTCGCAATATTAATTCAGCCGTAACAGACGTAGGACATGTTTCTGATGTTGTTTTACAACGATTTTCTTATCTAAAGATGTTTTTGATATGGTACTTGTCTGATAAGTTACACTGATTATGTCTCGTTATCGGATGCAGGGCAAACTTCACACTTGAAATGCTGACAAGTTAGAAATTGTGTACTTAAAACATGTGACAATCGACATTACAGGATGTGAGTGGAGATATTTATACACTAATCGATTGTTCGCGTGCTGTCTAATGAATCAGTAAAGTTATATTCTACAACATCGGCCTTCGACAAAATGGAAACTCTTAGTCTACATGAAAAGACAATTGACGTAACCGTCCGAGAATAAATAGAAATGTGTTGAAATGCCGATAAATTATTATTTTAAAAAGGCAAGATGTAATGCCTTATTATCGACTTCATTAACATATCTTTGTACCATATTAACAACTAAAGTACAAAATATATGCAAATTACATATATGAAATTCGATGTTTAATAAGAGTATTTGAATATGACGTGTCAGGGTTTTTGAATGTAGAATAACTATGCCATCTTTTGGACGGTTGCTTGAACTATTGCATAATATTCAACTTTTTGAAAACATGCCATATAAACACACCCTTCTATCTAAGGTGGTATTCTATCTAAGCTGGAAGCTGATCATGTTTAATTTAATTATACATCATATAAGCTTTTCAGAGTTTTAATAACCAATGTTAAAATTAAAAATATGTCAATATTCAGTATTAAATATATCCATTTTGTAGTCCTTGTGCTGCTATGGGCTGTTAGTTGTTATGAATATGACAAGATGAAATTTGTTATTTTATTTTGTAATGATTTTGTACTTTAAACATAACATTACAATATTAATAAGAGATGATGATGAGCGTTACCACTATCTAAGCACTCCTTCCCATCTAGGATAGATCACAACAAAAATATGTGACACTTGACTGTCGGACTGTAGTACTGATTTCATATCTTAAATTTGAGAAATGATATAATGCACATGTATTGCTAAACTTGATTATTCTTAATATATGTCTAATGTTAATATACAGGGCTATATTGTATAATTAGAGTATTTGTATTGTGTGATTGGTAAATGTAAAGACAGGCAATACATTGATGGATTTAACTCCTTAACATGTAATACTGTTCTTGGTTTTTTTGAGATATTGGAAATTTAAGTATATATATTTTAACTTGTCTTGTATTTGGTTTCTTAAAGTGCAATGTAAATAAAATGTAATGTAATATATAAGCATTGATATAGTTGACTGTAAACTCTTAATATGTAGTGATGGTTTTATTCTATCTTGTATTGCATTTATTGGTTTAAAAGAAGCAATATAAGCATAGAAATATTTGACTGTAGACGATTTAATTATTGTTATATGTATGTAACGATTGTATCATTTATATATGCAAATCATAAATTAATTTAGTGCTCATTTTTTATTTCAATTTATCAATTTCATACCCCAATTTTTTTTATTAAATTTATTAGATAAATATCCAAAAAAATACCTAACATATCACATACACAGAAAAGCTACCAGTCACGCAGGAAACTTTCACAAACGAGAACACCCCCTTTTCAGTAATATGACTGTATTTACAAATATACCCTGTGGTCAGTATATGTGTTTACCTTTCTGACAGTGTTATAGCTGCATTTCTAAAATGATTACCCAAAGGTAATTAGTTTATATCTTAGCATCGGTGACCGTATATCTAAAGTTATCCTAAAGGATAAATGCAAATAATTATATATAATAAAACGTTTCTAAAAGGAAGGTAATTATGACGTTAAAGTAACTCTGATGAAGAACCATAAGGCCATAAGGTTTTAAAAGTCGTCATTGAGTGGCTGTGTCATTTCTACAACTTGGACTTTGATACATTTAAAACTTAAAAATCTTATTTGAAAGTGTATGAATTACTCACAATTTTCCCCGCTGCAGTTCGGATAAATTGTATTTCGGAATCGAATAAGACATCATGGAAAAGAGTGAGTCGTGGAATGTTGTACATTACTTCCTCCTTTGACCAATAGTAAGGAATTCTTGTAGGTCGTAGGTAACACCTAAGCAACGACATCTCTTGTGCAGTCTGAAAAAGAATGTGGGAACTAAATAAAATAACTTTAAAACTATTTATAGTCTTCAATATAGTGAACAATCCCCTGAAAATGTTTAACGGATTAACGAAATGGGATAATTTCCATTTCTTCGAAAATCGTTATTTTCACCTCATAATGATTTTGACATTGATGAAGTTATTGTATTTTAAGACTGCAGCTAGTGGTACACCTGTGTAAACACGTGTACATCACGTGTACAACGATGTGAATGACACGCAGGATACTTACCCTTAACTCACCTCTACACAACGACCTGTAGACTTCGTCTCGGACAGACGATACCTCAGGCTCCAACACTTTAGAGTGTACAGCTATCCTGTAGCTCCGTGACATGTACAAATGATAGTCGGCTTTAATGTTGTTGTCATCTACAACATAAAGTAGCCCCTATCAGCAAACATTATGTAATCAAACACATGTCATCTGATATCTGATGGTTAAGTCAAGCGTTGAAAACGACCCAATTCGAGCATGGATTTGTCCAATATGGCATTATATCATTGGTTTAAAGTATATGTCTATACAAGAGTATTTAAATATGGGTTTCTAAAGTCATACCAATCATATATCACACCAAAGAGAGCACACTCAACACCACAGACAACATTATAGGTTTTGAAAATTAAGTAATTCAAAGTTTCTGGTTCAATAAACTGCAGAGAGCACACTCACGCAATTCAATGGTTCAAAGTGTCTGGTACAATATCTTGTAAGTGAGTAAACTGCTGTAACCCCTCTCTGTAATTAAGTATACTGTAAGTTTTGCATTTGGAATGTCAAAAACTAAACAAAAGCAAAATAAAATGAAACACGCATGACACAATCTATTAGAACGATTTTGCCTTGATGACATCCTCGATATCCAGGGGTAACGCTCACTTTCGCTCAATACACCCCTGGCTTATGGCATAGCAAAATCGAAGGCTCAGTGTGCAGCATCGTGTGGATGAGACGAGAAGACTCGTTTGTTCCTTTGATGTACATCAAAAGAATCTCGCGGTCGCGTAACGGTAAAAATTGACAGGCTTTGAAGTCAGTCATCGCTCCTTTGTAATCTTCAAAGGACAAGTATCGGCCTAGTGATTGGTCAGGTTATTGTACCTGACACCAATCAAAGAGCTAGCCGCGTGCGTTCAATTTTGCTATGACATATTCCAGGGGTGTAGAGAGCGAAAGTGAGCGTAACCCCTGGAGTATCGAGGATGCGTTGATGAATACTGCATGGCATTACTACAGCCGTTAATTAGGAGCATGGTTTTTATATCACAAATGTAAAAATCCAATAGTATATCTCTTACACTGACCTATATACAGGAAAGGTGTTATTATTTCCACAGATTTCCATGGCATTCCATACTAAAATGGAAACAGAAAAAAAGCGCATTTATATTATGTAAATGTCCTCATTCATTTCTATTTATCCATTTTATCATATTTAAGAAACATTAGAAACTTCAAAGAGCCCAGAAAAACGAAAAGTTATCAATTTTATGAAACATCCTCATTGGGGTGTTTCATTGAAAATGATAAAAGAACGTCAGACGACCTTTTATACAAAGAAACCTGAACACATACTTATTTCGAACATATCGAATCCAAACATTTACAATATAACTATGATGATATTTTAATTAAAAATAAGCCGCCTGAAAATGAATAGAGAAAGTTTATAGTTATACACATAACTCAACCAAGTACTAATACACAGGTTATGTTGGGTAATAAACTTACAACGCATTAGTAAGCCCGCACTAACCTACCTCACTGTACTCCTTAGCTAACATTGACTTTATAAGCATATCCTCGTCTTTGGAAACATTATATCGTTCTAACAGTTTCTCTAGCCACACGATTTTCTGAAATCCTTTTGCATGATGTGATATGTCTATGATGTCTGAGCTTGTGAGAGGTTCTGTCTTTGTGTCTAAAATTATTCCCGACATCAGTTTGTCTATGTCAAGGTCGTACGTTTTCCATAACCGGAGGATGGCTTTTGCCGTTCCATTCACATCATCTAGTGTTACAGGCGGTCCACCTTCCTCATGGAGTTCGAGTATACTGTTGGAAAACTCTGAAAGAGAGGACTGACATACTACAGATATAATACTAACAGAGTAATTTGCACAAAAATAAAAACATGAGTAAATTATGATACAGTAGTCAATAATTATTGTGGGAATTTCATTTTAGTTGGTTTCAAGGGTAATAATTATCTACGGATTCATTATATCCACGAATAAACATCCTCGATATCCAGGGGTTACGCTCACTTTCGCTCTCTACACCCCTGGAATATGTCAGAGCAAAATTGAAGGCTCAGTGTGCGCCACCTTGTTGATGAGACAAGAAGACTAGTTCGATCCTTTGATGTACATCAAAAGAATCTCGCGGTCACGTAACGGTAAAAATTGACAGGCTTTGAAGTTGTGCGTCACTCCTTTGTTATCGTCAAAGGACAGGTATCAGCCTAGCGATTGGGCAGGTTTTTTTTTTTTTACCTGAGACCAATCAAGAAGCTGTCTTCGTAACTTCAATTTTGCTATGACATATGGATATCGAGAATGCGAATAAATAGCATGTTTAAAATGTGACATTATGTGATTTTCTGTATATTTGGTCAAGTAGCACTGGGGCTAAACGTCAATTGAAATCAGCGATTCTTCAACCTTTTTTAGCGCCGAAAGTCTATTTGAACATTTTTCAGGATCGATAAGACAGATCAAGGATAAGGAAATGTCAAGGTATCGCGGCCATGAGTGCAGCTTTTCTGAGTTCGAGGAACATAATGCGCTCATCTTTATACAGAAAACATCGTCGATGAGGATTACGTTTCTAATTGTGCAATACTGCAGGTACTCGTTATGACTAAACCATACTTTTTTTTTATTTTGACTTTTTTCGTGGCTTCGCGGGAAATGAACTTCCAAGAATTTATGAGACTACGAAAGTTGTTTTTGTTGGTGTTTTTTTTTTGACAAGGGCCTTTATATTTTGGGTTGGGGGGTCATATCAAACGCTTATCTCACAAGTCCCTGGTATTAAACGCAGAATAGCGGATCCACTGTTACATGTATGCGCTTTCAGAGTGTTTATTAGTAAGCTGACCATTACTGGCATTAAGAAGATAAATGTCTAGATCAACTGAAGAAGATTTTGTTGTTGCTGTCAGAATATGTTAGAGGACGTACGTTTTTAGAAAATATATTTATTTGATAAAACACATACCATCTGATTGTGACATAATCAGGTGGTTTTTTTTATTAATCTGCTACACATGGAGACCGTTTCCGTTTGCAATTCTCCCTCTTTTTATTAAATAACATAACTTACCAACCAAACGTTTTGTTATTTTTATGACCCCATTTCAGATTCATATACTCCATCAGGAGTTTTCCAAATGTCTGCATTTTAGCCATTTTAAAAGTTACATGTAAAACTAATAATAAAGGGCTAAATTTATGTAAACTGTTCCAAAATTTTCTTCTGTTATATGAAGTTGCCACCAGATAATGCTTGGCATAATCATTGTATTGTTATAGCAGTTCTTTATACAGTTATATAAACTCGTTAATTATCACTTTCTGTCGCTTTTGTTGGCGTAGGAACAGTAGACATTTCAATTTCACGCTTTCTTGTTTTCAGATATATATTTACCCGTCACACTTGATATCTCCATACACGTGTCACAGCAGATCGAGCTAACGACCTCATCCCATAATAAAGCCCTCTTAAGTAGGTGAAAGGCTGTGATTGGATTATCGCCGAATTCTGCATTGTCACAATGGGGCAGGCGCACAGCCTTCACGTGATTCAAAAATCTGAAGAAATAATTGCAATAATTCTCACGTGAGTAGAAATTAAAATATGATTTATGTTAATTTCAGGAGCACTCAGAAATATCAGATTGTGCATCCACCTGGTTCATCCTATTATATAAGGTAATCAAGTAACCGATTATCATGCCGTCATATAAATAGATTTTTAAAAAAACAATGTTTATCATATCGACACACAAGAACAACCTTGTATCGCTATAGTCTTTGCTATTGAAACATGCACCGATGTCCATAGAACCTTACAAACTTCAGGATAACGTCCGTACAACTGTTAACAAATTCCAGTAAACAAAATGTCGGTATTATGTGCTTTGTAACATACATGTACATATAATTATATAAAATATCTAATCTGGATAATGTTTCACATATCGTCATTTCTTTATTGCCAGCCTGTTTCGTAATGATACAACGGATATAGAATAATTTAATGATTCACTGTCTTCAACGTATGATGCAAAAATATCGTGTATGATGTTGGATCAGAATGTTAATCTCTCGTTAACTTTGACGTGTTCCAGTCGATAGATGTATTTTTTTCTTCAAATAAACGTTAAACAGTTGGCGCTTTTCTTGGTCGTGTTGCATTCGTGATCTGCACTAGTGAGGACTTCTCATGATCAGTGTTACTGTTAGTCTCTGACGCTTCACGTTCGAGTTTGTTAAGTTGCACCTTGGATTTCCTTTCTGACGCATGGTGTCCTCTAAGATTAATATTTATAAAATGTAAATAGGAAGTCCATCAACAAGAATACTTGTTTCTATAATATGAGATACACAGTCCTATTTCAAAATATCGTCTCGTGGATTGCATGGGGCCAAACGGGGGTCGAGGTATTGTACAAGGAACTGACATTTTTGAGAATGCTTTAATTTATAGTTCATCTATAGCTTTTCCCGTCTTGTCATGTTATTTCTGTGTACTTTTACATGTATGTTGTAAACGTGTTAAAATAATTACTTGTCTTGTCTATCCGTGCTTTTTCTGTTGTGAATGTGTAAAATATGATCTTAACACATACAGAGGTGTTGCGCCTTGAGGGGAGTACTATGTTTATTATTATACCCTCGTCCTGCCACGTTATCTCAGTTAAAACTTGAAACAATACACTTTCTATTGAGCTAATCACTGACTGGTACACCAATCAGTAAAATAAAGGCTGGCAGCATTGTATTGCGACATCATTAACACATTGTCTATATAGATGACACTTTGTAAAATGTTTTGAGAAATACTTGGTATAAATGATCGAACGTGTGCTAAAACATGAGAACTAGTTACACATTATAGTAATAAAAATTGAAAGTTTGAAGCAATGAATATAAGAAATGTATATATGTAGAAATCAACGTCACCTTGAGATGTGTAACATTATAAGATTATATTTCTTTTTCATTTATAATGGTATCAAATACAAAATGGCTAAAAATAGCTCAAATGATAGGTCAATATATTATGTGACTTTTATTACAATATACCTTCTTTATCGGATTATAATGAACCTGTTAAATTCGAACGTCCTGTCCACCTAACAACCCTTAAAAATGGTTGCAACATCATCAACTGTTTGTTTGCTCAAATATGAACAAAAATCAGCAGCATATACTAATAAACTTACGTCAAAATGTTCTGTTTGACATCACGTCCAGCTCGTTGCTCCGACATCACAAACTCATCCAACACGGCTATCAATGTCATCTCCTCCTTGGCCACGAGCTGAACCTCTCTTGTGGATGAGTATATTTTTGATTCCATTTCTTTTGTAAAGAAAATACTCAAAATCACTATGTACGATAGCATTTGCATCGTTTTCAAAGATTATTGAGGTTCCAGATATTCCGAAGTATAAAGGTGTTCAATAAATAGAATTTTACGACAACTTTACACTGGTTGCTTAATGACAAACAGCGAAGATTCATACAGTCAAACCAATGCGCCTGTAGTCGTGTTGCCTAGCCCCAAAGTAGATATACTTATTGTCTTCCGTTTTGCCCGTCACGCCATGATCAGGTGTATCCTTGCCCAGGTTCCTCTCTGTGTGTTACCTACCGCGTCTCTATCAATTATTGATACTTGCTAATGATAGATGTCTATTCGATCGTTTGTTGTCTTCTTAATTGCATTGTATTCCGCCACTGATAACATGCAGATTGGGTACACTTTTTGTGCCGTTGTGCCCCTTGTTACACCTAGTCCTTATATCAGATCATTACCCGAGAACACGGGGACAATGACAAATTAAATAACCCACAAACATGCAACATCTTTAAACATAAAAGTTTTAATATAGTTGACAGGTTGATGATGTTGTGTTTCTTTGTAGATGATATTCAGCTTCCCGACTGTCTCACTTCAATGACTTCCTACGTACCGCTTCAATGACTTCCTACATCTCCCGGTAGTTACTGTATATATAATCTCTTACCTGATCGTACAGGTAGAGTTAGTTTGACAAAAGTTGGTTTTATTGTACTTCTAGTACATGATTATATGTTACAGTACAGGTACATTTGTACATACATGCACCTTTCGGCTAGCATATTTCTTCAATTTTATTAATGTTATTTCAATAAATATCCAAAAATAGGTACTCACTGTTTAATGTATTTCATTTAACCTGTAGAAAATAGCATAGATTTTTAGAAAGAATATAGGGTGTATATTTACAAACAATGACATACATGTATATCCTTTATGTAAGTGTCTAAATATAATATAAGAAAATTCAAATAACCACCAGGTCACGTTAAAAGGCAATGTGTTGTCGTTTGAGAATTGAGTATCAGACAATTCTATGTATGGTACTGTTTGTTATGTTGTCCATTTTGAATATAAACAAAAACGAAAACCTTATTATAATACTATTAAAGACCTAACAACCGCGGGACCCAATCTCTTTCCTCATGGATATTGTCCCGATCCTGTACTACCAAGTTTGTTCACCCAAATACCAGTATTTGTCGGAATAATAACATAATGTGTGTATGTAGGGGTAAGGTGATTTTGATAGGAAGGATGCAATAGGATATAAATTCAAACAGGCGTGCATTAACATCCTTCTTCAAGGATTTCCGACTTTCTAGACGGTCGTGACGTCTGCATCCTCGACATCCAGGGGGAAACGCTCACGTACGCTCTCTACACCCCTGGAATATGTCATAGCAATATCGAAGTCTCAATGTGCGCCACCTTGTTAATGAGACAAGAAGACTAGTTCGATCCTTTGATGTACATCAAAAGAATCTCGCGGTCACGTAACGGTAAAACTTGACAGGCTTTGGAGTAGGGTGTCGCTCCTTTGCAATCTTCAAACGACATATATCAGCCTAGCGATTGGTCAGGTTTTTTTTACCTGAGACCAATCAAACAGCTATCTTTGTGCCTTCAATTTTGCTATGACATATTCCAGGGGTGCAGAGAGCGAAGTGAGCGTAAACCCTGGATATCGAGGATGGAGGGATTTGCACAGCCACCTTTCTGATTATCAATGCTAGCTTTTTGACCTTTTCAAGCTTTCCAGTGAAACATGTCAACGCGCAGTGCTGTAGAACACTTTTAAGCAACTGTGGCAACGATTTTTTTTATAAGGTATTGGTGTGTCATATGAGCAAAGATTACATGGTCATTTTTTTCAACGTTGCACGCAGTATTAGCTGTAACGCTCGGCATCGTGAACTGAAGTTGGCTTATGAGATGTCAGTGGCTATTAAGACTGAAGACATGTTCATCGTATCTTAGTGAATCAAAAATTGACAGAAAATATCAAGATATAAACAGATGCCATGTGGTACAGGGATGTCTACTCTTCTGGAATACATGTTGTCGTAGTTGGGCTTTTTAAGCAGTGCAAGGACTAATGTTTTGTATACGATTGGGGTTTCATTTGAAAACTGAACTGAACCAGAAAAGAGGAAGGATTTTTTGTTCTAATGATGTGATATTAAGATGTACACAACTTTGTCGAGAAATTCGAAGTGAAGATTTCGCCTGCAATGCAAAACGGAGCGAGCTGAAGAAAATCAACCGCTGAATGGAGTTTTTTTTTTTAGTTTAAGCACTAACTAATATAAATTTTCAGTTAAATTGTTTATTTTTAAGGCAGAACAATAGGATGTAAAATAAAAGAGGGATGAGGAATATTCCTTGGTTCAAACTATTTCTAGTTCTAAGAATGTTCCTTCTGTCATACATGTTAGCCTGTCACGCGAGAGGAATGTTTCTTAGTTCATAACTATGAGAGGAAAGTCCACAGTTTATATACGTCATTCTCTAAGGGCGCACGGGCTAGTATACGTACAGCAAATGGATATTTGTCTTATTGTTGTGTTTGCGTAATAGTGGAGAGAAGACCCTCAGTTCATAAGAGGAAAGTCCGACTAAAATGTGACTAGAAGGGAACTTTTGTAGTTCAGACACGTCTGTCTGTTATAAGAGGGGAAGATCACTAAGTTCAGAACTGTGCGCATGTAACAAGAGAAGAATATCCTTTAGTTCAGATCTGACCTGCGACACAAGAATGTTCCTTAGTTCATACCTATCTGCCTTTGATAAAAAGAGAGGGTCATCCTGTAAGTCACGTAAGTGCATATCCATCCTCTACACTCCAGGGGTTACGCTCACTTTCGCACTCTGCAACCCTCGGATATGTCATAACAAATCCGAAGGCTCAGTGTGCACCACCTTGTGGATGAGACGAGAACACTAGTTTGATCCTTTGATGTACATCAAAAGAATCTGTCTACCGTGTAACGGAAAAATTGACTGGCTTTGAAGTCGTGTGTCGCTCCTCTCTAATCCTCAAAGGACAGGTATCAGCCTAGCGATTGATCAGGTGTGGTTTTTTTTACCTGAGACCAATCAAATAGCTAGCAGCATGCCTTCGCTTTTGCTATTTGTCCTAGGCTCGGTTATAACCGGAACAAGGACGTAAAGCCCCATCAATCAGTTTTGCTATGACATATCCCAGGGTTGCAGAGAGCGAAAGTGAGCGTAACCCCTGGAGTATCGAGGATGGCCCATATCCTGTGATGAGAGAGTATTGTTTCAAAGATCAGACCAGCAGATCGGTGATAAAAGACGAATGCTACTAAGTTCAGACATGTCCGTCTATTACACAAGAAGAATGACCCATTCACTTGTGATAGGAAAGGGTGTCCCTTATTGGTTTCACTCTCGTCTTGTGACACGAGAAAAATATCCTTTAATTCACCAAAGTTTGCATGTGAAAAGAGTGTCATGCACCTCAGTTCATTCCTGCCAGCCTGTGACAAAAGAAGAAAAAATCCTTAGTTCAGAATTGTCCGCCTTTGACATGCAAGGAATATGTGTCTTAATTCATATATGTCCGCCAAGGATATAAGAAGTTTCGACAGTGATAATTAAGTGATCATCAGTCCGTAGTTCTGACCTGTCCTGTGACAGGAGATATGTATTTTTGTTCATACTTGTCTGTGACAAAAGAGGAATGACACTTAGTTCAAACTTTCAATTGCGACTCTAGAGTCCATATTTAAACCTGTCTTGTGATCTTCCCCTTTCCTACAGTTTCCTATGTTCAACTGTCATAAAAGAAGCATGTTCTTTAGATCAGATCGACATGTCCGCCTTTTACACGAGGAATGCCCCGCAACTGTAACACGAGAAGAAAGTGCCTTAAATGTAGTTCAGATCTGTTCTGAGACACCATTAATTCACACAATGTTTCAGTCCAGGGTCCGTATTCATGAAACCGTTCTTATCCTCAAGCATGGATTCTGTGCTCAACCCAACTTTCTTGTGACTAACTTAAATCATGTCAAACGATCAAAACGTCCAATGAAAACATTGAAAACAGTATTCGACTCTAAGTCTCTTCAAAGTTTTTAGTTATAAGTTATAAGTTATAACGGGAACAAGAAATTAGGATTGAGCACAAATTCCATGCTTGAGCATGAGAACGGTGTCATGAATATGGGCCCTGGCTGGTGCAGAAGAGGGGTGTTGATCAGTTTATAGCTATCCACCTGTGACAGGTCAGGAATGACTCATTAATTCATGAAACCGTTCTCATGCTCAACAAGAAATCCAAGAGGGATCTTGGCGCCCACCTTTGTACTATCTTATCATAATAATAATAATAATAATAATAATAATATACAGCACTTATATAGCGCCCTATATAATTTGTAAAATTACTCTAAGGCGCTTTACAACATATGGATAATAGTATATAAATATGACATTCATTAGCAGGTGACAGTGAATATTGTCAACCCGAGAAAACCATTGTCACCCGAGGGTGACAATGGGTTTTCTCGGGTTGACAATATTCACTGTCACCTGCTAATGAATGTCATATTTATAT